CCGCCATAAAATAACGTGACATGTATCCATATAATATATAAATTACAGATATGTATGTAAACGCAAAAAAAAATTTAATTAAAAACATTAAAAAAATTTTTTAATTATTATAATATATATATAAAACTACTAAATACTATATAATATAATATATTAAATACTATATATATAATATATATTTATTATAATATTAAATAATATATATAATTATTTAATATCTTGTATTTAAAGTAATTAAAAATACAATTTTTTTATTTTTCTTAATTATTATATTAAATATATTATTATATTATTTTATTTAATCAACTAAAAACCTAGTTAAAAAAAATATTATTTCATGAAAATCTACATTAAGAACGATTTTATAATTAATTGAAAATCAACTATTATTTTAACAAAGGATATTCCCGCGGATATAAATGGCATCATTTTAGAGCAACGTGATTTAAGTTTAATGATTTGTTGTTACATAGATAATAAATATTTTATGGAATATGACCACTACGAATGGATTTTCAGACTCACAAGAGTCTGATATATTAGGTGAAGAAGATTACAAAATAATTGTGAAGGATATGTAAGAAATGTTGATATATAATAATTATTACAACATTCTTATGCGCTTCACTACTTTAGTTTTCTCTATATTAGATATTATATGTCATTACATATTATTTGATTTAGTGGATTTGTACCCTCATTTTGGTTTCAAAGTATAACAGAAGATAAAACGGAAGAAAAATATGATTTAACACAACAATATATAGAAGAAGAAAAACAAATGAAAGATGAAGAGGAAGAAGAATATTTTCAAGATCCTTTGGAGATCATTGATCCTCCTATTCCAGTAAGAGAAGAATTTCCTGGTCGTCATAATTTTCAAGTTTTATTAGTTAATCAAGATTCTAGTAAACATTGGGTTGTAAGTATATAATTGAAATATTATTAATCATATGTGTAAAAATTTAATATATAATGTATATTTGATTCCATTTATTTTATTTAGTATTCTCAAACATTAAAAAAAGTGTTTATTATTATGGAAGAAACATTGCCACTACGTGTTAAGTGGGAACCACCTGAGGATGGTTTTCTTTTACGTACTGCTATGGTTTTTAGTTTAGATCAATATGCTAGTGATCCAGTTAGAAGATGTCATAATCACATGGCACCAAATAATCCAAGTAATAGAGATGTGGATCCCAGAGTAATTAAACATGTTGTTAGATGTACACATCATCTTACTATGTATGAAGAAAGAAATGAACATTTATCTATAATAATACCTCTTAATAGACCACAACCTGGATCACAATATGTTCCAGTATGTTTTAAATTTTTATGTAAAAACAGTTGTCCATCTGGTATGAATCGTAGACCAACAGAATTAATTTTTACTTTGGAAGATCGTAATAAAAGAATTTTAGGTCGAAGAAGACTTCCTGTTAGAGTTTGTAGTTGTCCCAAAAGAGATAAAAAGAAAGAAGAAGCTGAAGTGACAGATGTACAACCTGATATAAAAAAAAGAATGCTTTGTATGCCAGTTGCAAAGAAAATAATGCCTTCCTGTGATACTCATGTATTCAATGTTCAATTAAATATTGTTGGGAAAGAAAACTATTTGGCTGTATTAAAATATGCATATGATATTATGGCAGGTCAAGCAATCAAAACTGGACAACTTGAATTTTTCAAACCATATATGGATGATATATTACATAAAACACCATAATACATACTTATATGAATTTTAAGTCTTTCATATGCTTTAAAAATCAAAAAATTCATATATTATCTATTTGTATATCTTATAATAATACATATTTTAATAATTTCATTTTATTAAATTGATCTTAATACAAGACTATATTATATTCTTTTATTACATGTAAATGTTAATATTATTTACATAAATATTCTTATATTAACATTGTGATATTATATCAAATTTTTATACTAAAATATAATGTACTTGTTAATTTTTATCAATAAAAATGAATAATTTTATTACTTTTTAAAATTTATATATTTTTTTATATTTCTAATTGTTCATGTGAGAGACATTCTATTAATTGAATGTTTAATGTGTATAATAATAAAGCATTTGGCAATGGTGCAGTGTGTTGTGATGATAATACCAAAGGACTTACAAGACTAGCAACATTTCTGCATATTTTTATTTCAATACCATTTTCTCCTTGACCATACAAAATCCATTTCCATGATGTTTTTTTTCCTATAGTACTAGTAATCCAAACAATTTCATTTTCACACTATATATATCAAAACATTTTTTATTTAATTATTTTTTACATATAATAAATAAATTTAATAAAATTGGTAAATATACCTGAAAGAAAAAAAGATCTTCACCATAATGTAATATATAAACAGCTTCTGAACCAAATGGAAGAGGTATTGGAAGTTTTGCACAAATAGAATAAAAATGAACTTGTGGTACTTCATGAATTTCATTCAAATGTTCCAATACTGCATTAGGTGTAATGATATTTTTACATCCACTTTGTTTTAAAAGCGGACATATTATTTGAGTACAGGATATAGAATCTATGGAATCTCCCCAAACTAATGTAGGAGATATATTGGATATTAAATTATCATTACTTGATATATTTGGTGCATTAATTTGTAAATAATTATTACCAACGCTCTTTATGCGTTTTTTTGATAATTCTCCAGTACTTGCAGATTTCGTTCGATCATATAAATTTAAACGTTCGTCAATATGATTTATAAATGTAACATTTGCTTTTGATTTTTCATTAGAAACTACTGTTAAATTATCTGCTGAGGCAGCTTTTTCCAATCCACCACGAAATAATTTAGTTAACAATAGTTTACATGTTTTCGAATTTATACTATTAGTTTTTCCTGCTACTTGCGTTAATTCTTTCTTTTTATTTTTTCCAAAAAGACGATCTCGAAGATTTTTTGTATGACATTCTGCTTTATTATATAAATTATCTTTAATATCAAAAATATCCCGAAATATCTTATTAAGTTTATCCGCAAGCAAACATCTCCCTTGACCTAATCTAACTCTACAAATTGGACAACGAGATGTCCTTGATCTACATCCAACACAAATGATATGACCGTGAACACATTGAGAGACTGGAGATAATGAATTTTCCAGACAAATTGGACATTCTAAAACTCGTATCTAAATAAATATAATAATTATTTTTATAAAATATTATAATATATATTTAAAAATATTTTAAAAAATTTTCGATATTAAATTACACACCACTCCAGCTACTGCATTTGCAAGTTTGCAAGCTACTTCTGGTAATGGTCCTTTTACGGCTATACCTGTCTCTTTTTCTTTTTCTTCCTCGATAAATCTCCAAATAGACAATTTTAAATTACATTCTTGATAATAATGAATCAATTCCGCTATTTGTTTTATTTTTAATCCTAATAAATCTTTTCCGTCAATACTAATTAAACAATCGCCAACTCTAAAAACGCAGCAACAAACAATTTAAAATTTTTAAATTTTATATATTTATTTCATCATTTTTTTTTATTCTTACCTAAGTCCTGCTATATCGGCAAGACTGTCAACTTCAATATGATTTATCCATGGATAAGGATCCCACTTCGATTTCGTTAAATGAAATCCGCAAGATTTACCAAGTGCTTTAGCTTCTTTTATATTTTTTAATATTATACAAATTTTTCCTGTAATTGTATCAATTGATGTATGTTCTTCTGTCATATAAATTTTAACACCTGCAGCTTCAGTTAAAAGTTTTGAGGTATACGTAACAGACATAGTTCTTTCAGGATTTATTTTCTTTTTTCAAATTTTTTTATTCACTTTTTTTTTTTCACTTTTGAATGATCATTAAATGTGATCATAAATTTAAAACACAAAAATAATTTTTTAAAGACAAATCTAAAACTTACTATTATTTTGTAAATTTCGATTTATTATCATAGTTATCTTATTAACTACATCAAATAAAATTTATATATCAAATATATAAATGTTATGATCTTTACGAGAACCACGTAATAACGAAACTGATCGAGTTTGTCTCTAAGCAAGATAAAATACTTGCCTGTTTACCTTCACCTAATTTTGTATCCTTGACATTTATTTTTTTAAGGAAATTGTAGCTTCAGCTTTTTCTTTTTACATCATCAACGTTAATATAAATTTAAATTGAAAAAAATATCTTAAACTTCATAAACATTATCTTTATTGAAGCATTTTTAATAATAATATTGAAGCATGTTTAATAATAAATACTTTAATAGTAATAATTATACTATACATATATAATTATTTATATTTTTATTAATATGTTATGTAATAATTACAAATATTTATCCAATTCTAGTCTCATCTTTAATTTATATATATATGTATATGTATATATGTTGTAATTCCTTTTTATTTAAAGATTTGAAACAATCTTTAACATAAAAAGGCCTTATATTTAAAAGTCTTATAAACATAGTAATTTTTTTTATTTTTATTTAATTAATATTTAATAAGAAGGCAAATTGTTCTTTAGCACTGATTGGAAGATCATATAGCTGGATTGTCAGTAATAAATTTAAAATATATCCTATACAAATTAATTAAAATGCATTAAATATATTTTGATAATGAAAGATAAAGAAATTTTTATCTATCTTTAATCAATGATATTAAAACTTCTAATAAATTATTGGTATAAGATATTGAGACATTGATTTAATGTGTGTAAAGTAGTATGTGCAGTTGCTTTAAGAACTAATAAATCAGGATCTAAGTTTAAATTTGAGTTCTCAATAGTTTGTGCTAATGCAAGATTATGTTTTTCTACTCTGCGTAATTGTTCTTGACAATTGGCAAATGCATCTAAAACTTCCAGTTTAGCAACTGGATTTCTATTGGAATTGGTAGAATGTTCTCTTGGAGGTAAAGGAGGATGGCTACTAGCTATTGCTCTAGTATACATTTCTGTAACAGCTCGCAGTTTGTCAACCCATTCTTGACGAGCTCGTGCATCTGTTGCTCTTAATTTTATCATATCACCTATATTAATATAAAAATGCTATATCATCATTTGAATTTGTAATCTAATAATGTTACTTGATATATTTCAAATACCTGTAGCAGAATTGACAGTGAAAGTATTAGAATCTTCATCACTTGGTGCAATCACTGCACCAGCTAAATATATTGAACATCGTGGTCGTTGATTTTTTTCAGATTCACTAAGAAAATAATGTAATTCACCAGTCTCTGGTCTAAGTATAAACCAACGATATTGCCATCCTTTCATGGCATTAGTATATTTATGTAATAAACCTTCATACGGATGTCTTATTTGAACATTCATTATTTATTATTTCTATTCTATGGAAGCCTCGTATTATTTAAATCAAAGTTGCTTATAGCGATCTGTCATCTGAATAGATACATCAAGGAAGGTTAGTCAAATAATCGTAAGAGAGGTTAGGAACGTTAATGTTCCAAAAATCAACACGATAATAATTATGTAAATAGATCATTAAACTCATTAGAAATGACAGTTAAAATAATATACAATTTTTATTAAAAAAAATAATAATTAATAAATTTAGTTTTATATTAATTATATTAAGAAAGGGAATTTTTATTTTTATTTTATATTTATTATAAATTGTACACAAAATATAAAATATATTTTTTTTTAACATATTAACATCTTTCAAATCGCAAAAATCATTTTTTAAAGACAATAGTCTATTGAAATAAAATAAAAATAAAAGATAACAAAAGTAAAATATAAAATATTCAAAAAAATCTTTCAATCTTATACAGTAATTAAATAACAAACTATAATCGCTGATTAATAAATGAAATTTTTAGAATATTAAATGAAACTTAATTTAGAAACGAAATGTAGAACAGCATATAAAGATATAAAAATACTTTTACGAAAATACTTAAACTATTACATTTAAAAATATTTTAATAATTTTAATTTTAAACATTTTAATTAAAATGCTAATGAGTTACATATCATCTTTTTTCAAGCTGATATCAAATTCTCTTCAATTAATTTATCTCGAATAAATGGTAATTCCACATTGTATATTCCAGATTCCAAATCATGATCAACAATCTTTATTTTAATACAATTATCAGGAACAACTAATTCTTTGATTCTTTCTTCTATTTCGGTAGAATATTGTCCATTGTCATTAATAGCTGCAACATCTATAAAATCATATTATAATTTATAATATCCATATTGATTCAAATATATATAATAAATATATATTACTTACTAATAATATTACAAATATTTGCAAGTGCATGAGGACTCATAAAATCTTTTGGCATAAGTCGTATATCTTTATGATCAATAAATTCAGTATTACCAAAATCAACAAAAAATACAGCACTTGTTGTAGGAGTGTAGCTACGACTTATACATATGGCACGATACCATCCACCATCATAAAAAGCAAGACAAAGTTCGGTATCACGAGGAATATAATAATCATTTGCTTCACAATATTCAGTCATCTTTAAAAATATTAAAATAATAAAAATATGTTATATAAAATTTATTTTAAATCATAATAAAATCTTACTAAAATATAAAAATTACTTTTTTTGGCATTATATCAAAAACATGAGTCATTAAATCATAATCTAAGGGACACATTGCATATTTGTAACTATCATCAATAGGATATAATACAAGTGCCTCAACAGTATCACCAATATTTCCTAAATCAATAGTACTTAAATCACCTGCCATATAGCATGTTTTATCTATAAAAAAAAATCAATATTAATCATTATCCAAATAATATTAAAAATGTTCGATAAAAACATTTAATTATGAATTTATGTAAATACATAATTTTTAATAATTACCTTCTTCAATTTTCTTTGATGCAGGTACAAGTAATTCACTTATTACTTTATTAACATTTTCTCCATTATGAAGTTTAAGATATACACCGTCTTTGGAAGGTACACCATCAAATGTACACAATAAAGGAATTTCAGTTCCTGTTAAATAATTTAGATAATCACTTACTTCTTTTGTCATAGGAATATCTATAGGAACATCTTTTAGGACAATCTTTGTTGTACAAGATCGAAGCTTTAAAAAATATTAGATATTAAAATTTTTAACTATATTCTATTATAATTATAACTATAATATAATAACAGACCTGTTTTAAATTATCAGATAAAATTTTAAGTTTTTTTATATTAGTAACTTCAGTATTACCAAAATCAATATATGA